CTTCAGGTGGATTAATTTTCTCTTTTTTCCCTTCACATGCCTTACTCTTAAATCTCAATATATTTGCCTGTGCTTTCCCCAAACCATCATGTACCTGGAATGCTTTCTTGATAATACCTTCCAGTCAAATTCTGATCCCACCTTTTTTTTTTTAGGCAATTGGTGTTAAGTGACTTGCCCAGGGTCACACAGCTAGTAAGTGTCAAGTGTTTGGCCTGAGGTCGGATTAGAACTCAGGTCCTCCTGACTTCAGGGCTGGTGCTCTATCCACTGTGCCACCTAGCTGTCCCTGATCCCACCTTCTTAAAGGCTTCCTTCATTACCATTATATTTAGATACCTTTAGAACCTCCAAAGCATTTTTGTCTGTATCACACAATTTGACACTTGATTATATATGTTATGTTGTTCTGTTTCACATGTATGTGTTTAGCCACAACAGGATTGTGTGCTTCAAGGTTGGGGACTGTGCCTTATACTGTAGTTGTATCTACCAGAAAATCTAGTGCAGTGCTAGTTGTGTAATAAATAGGACCTTAGACTTGACGTGGTATTTGTCAAACTCTGATAAAGAGCAGTTCTTATCTGTGCTTTCTGTTATCTCTGGTGTTGCCAACTGCAGGAATGCATTTGATCTTTCAGAAATCATTGACATTGAAGGATATGGCTGTGGAATTTACCCGAGAGGAGTGGGAGCAGTTGGACCCTGCTCAAAGAAACCTGTACAGGGATGTGATGTTGGAGAGGTATAGAAATCTGGTGTTGTTGGGTAAGGACATTTTTCCCTTGTGAATTTGTTCATTGGGCATTCTCATTTCCATAATAGCTGAAGGCTTCATAAGTACAGGATTTAGCTGGATTGGGTTTGCTTTGGGGTTCATGCATCATTTTACTTTTTCTAATTAGACATAGGTAATTTATTGTGCTACCCCTTGGGTTGTAGCATCTTTGTCCTTGCATATACCTGAAGAGGTAATGAAAGGCTTGCATCATTATGCATTGCAACTCTCCACCCTTCCTATGACCATAATACTGAATACCATTCAGAAGTTCTTTGCATTTCCTTAGACCATTCCATCTATCATGTTCTCTTTTTCCTGAAAAATAAGTGGTTGTGTTACCTTCAGCATAAATATCCATTTCTTTTGTCATGAACAGGGCTTCCAATTTCTAAGCCTGATGTAATTTCCCAATTGGAACGAGAAAAAGAGCCATGGATGCTGGAGAGAAAAGACCCAAAAGGTGGCCACTTAGGTGAGTAGAGTAAATAGATAGGGGGGGGAGTCATTGGAAATAACAGTCCAATTAGTTGGTGGGGGTTAGAACTTTGAAATATTTTGTGAAGAACTCTCATCAGGTTCTCCTGTGTCTGTGAAGAAGTGAAAGTCCACATTGTATGAGTGCCTTTATATACTTGGCTGAACAGTTGATTCTCCCTTAAATGTCTCAGTACTTTGCCTGGACTTTTCCTCTACACTTATCACGTTTGTCTCTGACATCATAGTTATTTATGTACATTTCTTCCCATCCCTTCACCCATTAAACTCTTTGAGACCAGGGGAGGGTCTGCTTGGACTGTTGTAGGTATTGAATTGAATTAAATCATTGAATGGCAACTTCCATCATCCAATTCGTAGCTTCCTCATTCCTGGCCTAATTTGCTGCAGAAGCTTCCCAGCTGACTTCCCTTATTCCCATCCCTCTTGCAGTCCTGTCTATATACTGTGCCCACACTAATCTTTGTAAACATTACTTTCTTATTATCTCATTCAGTAACATAGTCTCTGTTGCTTTCCTTGCTCTGATGATACTCTGCTTTTTACCATGTATTTACTTCCTCAAGTGTTGCAAGATAGAACTCTTCTATGATGCCTTATCCTATGTGATTCTGTCCACATCTTAACAAAAATCTTTATAGAGGGTCCAACTAGTGTGCTGGGGGCCTTCTGCTTCTACTCTTACTATCTCAGTGGTACCAGTATACCGCTAACGTTGTCTGTCTGTTGTCTCATTGTTACCACATGACGCATTTATCTCTTTTTCTTGTTGCTTACCTTATTAAATCTAAATTCTTCAGCAGTAATTTTCAAGTCCTTCCCAGCTAGGTGGTTCAGGGGGTTGGAATGCTGGACCTGGAGTCAGGAAGACTGAGTTTATAGGTGGCCTCATTTACTTGTAGCTGTGTGACCTTCAGCAAGTCACTTAACCTTTATCTGCCTCAGTTTTCTCATCTGTCAAGTGGAGACAATATAGCCCTTATCTCCCAGGACTGTGGTGAAGATAAATAAGTTAATATTTGTGAAGTGCTTTGCAAGCTTTAAAGCACAATGTAAATGCTACTGTTATTATTGTTGTTGTTATTTTTACCTGGTTCCTATCTTAGATGTTCACCATTTTTTCCCTCATTGCTGTCTAACTTGAACCCTCTGTTGTCTGGGTCTTTAACTATTCTGTCCTCCACAGCAAAAGTCTGTCCTCCTCTTCTATCCGTCTTCTTATTTTTAAAGATCTAGGTCAAGTCCCCATTTTCTAAATCCTTTCTCAACTGTTGTAAGCCTAGATTAATCCCATCCTTCTCTGAACTTCTGTTATGCTTACACTTTGTGCTACAAATATCTCACTTGATTATATACTTGGTGGTATTGTTCTAATTGTTTCATGTAGAACCATGTTAGAACCTTGTAATTTTAGAGTTAGAAGGACTTGAGTCTGAGAGAGACTTCTCTAGTACCGTACAGTGAGCTAGTCGCCATGCGGGAATTAGAACTCACATACCTGGACTCCCTGTCCAATGGTTTTTTACTACAACACACGTGCACTTAACAGTGTTGATCTCATCTCAATACCTGTACCATAAGCTGGAGAGAGGGAACCATGTCTTTATACTTCTATTTCCATGCTGGGTGTGCAGATTTTGAATAAGTTCTTAATTAATTGGATGCTAAGTGGTTTGAATAACTTTCTCTTTAGAACATTTTTTTTTTAGCTAGTAGTCATATCTTTTGCCTCAGCTTTCCTGACAATTTGCTTTTTTGGCAGCTTTATGCATAGCACTCTTGCGCTGTTCTTGGAGACTGTATAAGTAATGAAGGACCAAGTCTCTGTCCTCTGACACACTGATTAGGGACTTAAGGCAGACACGTAGGGTAGACACGTTCAGTAACAATTCAAGTGTACACATTCATTGTGCCTAAATAAATAATACAGGCAATACTTAGAAATTTATCAAAGGGAGAGATTAGCGTGGGCTGGTATTGGTTTTTTTTTTTTTTAGGCAATTGGGGTTAAGTGACTTGCCTAGGGTTACACAGCTAGTAAGTGTCAAGTGTTCGGTCTGAGGCCGGATTTGAACTCAGGTCCTCCTGACTTCAGGGTTGGTACTCTATCCACTGCGCCACCTAGCTGCCCTGTGGGCTGGTATTGTTGAGGAAGACTTTGTGGAGTGTAGAATTGGAGATTGTTCCTGGAAGATGCCTAGAGATTAGAGGAGTGGAAAAAGTATCTCTGCCAGGGAGACCAGCATGAGCAAAGGCATGGGGTCAGCAATGAACAGGCCAGGTTTGGAAGAGAGGACAGGTACTGCTCACTTCCATGGGACCATGGTAGGGTTAGCATCAGGTTAGAGTGGGGAAGGCTAGGAATGCCAGATTTAAGAGTTTGGCATTATCCTGAATGGATGAGAAGTTTTTGAGTATAATCAGGTAAAAAGGTGTTAGGAGGATTAGTCTGACAGCCAAATGCAGGACAGATTAGAAGGATGGGAGTCTAGGAAGCTGTTACAGTAACCCTAATAGGAATTTGTATTGGATTAAGTTGATGGCTGTGGGCTTTTCCAGGAAACACATCCTGATCTCAATCTGCCTTTTTAAGCTACTGTTAAATTTCATATTTTCTGATCTCTGGTGCTTAGGTTTTTTTATTATTTTTCCAAACTTCATATCTTTTTTATTCTTTAAAGACTTGAGGCCTCTCTTTCCATCCCTTCTTCACTCAGTCACAAAAATGTTACTCATAATCATGCCTGCTTCAGGTTCAGAGAAATATTAGATCAGATCTAGGTAACTTCTCATCACAGTATTCTGCTGTGGGACCCAAATCATTGAAGATGGTCTTTCAGAAACCATAGGTGGGGCTCCTTGCTTATCCTAGCATTTACTGACTTTCTTCTGTACCATTCACTAAAGCTCTTCTGAATTATATTCCTGCTCTGTGTCAACCCAAAACTTCCACCAGACCACAGCACAAACAGTCACACTGACACTCAGATTCCTTAAGCTCATGTCACCACAATGTTAACTCTTCCTTCACCACACCCTGAGTTGGTCAGAATACCCTATTAAACAATATCCCTGTGGCTGCTTCCTGATGTCTTTAAAAAGGCCTAGGGAATAACTGGCATGGCAGCTGCCCTTCCACCCCACCTGCCCTTGGGCATGCAGCCATTTCTCCTTTGGCAGCGTCTTAAACCTCTGACACCCTTCTCTCAGGAATGTAAGACTATATTCAAATACTGTCCTGTTCTTGCCCTTGTAGGCATTGTTTTCAGTTTCATTATTCTCTTCCCACTAAAGTAGTTCCCTTCTGACACAGAATAAGGGGCACATTTGCATTTTTTATTTCTTTCAGATTGGGATATTAGATCTGAAACTGAGAAGTTAATTTCAAGGCAGGACATTTCTGAAGAAGAATCATCCCATGGGGTGTTAATGGAAAGACTCACAAGGGATTCCATTTTGGAAGAAACCTGGCAATGTGAGGGACAGTTAGAGGGGCAACAGGGCAACTATGAGAAACATTTAAGCCAAGACACAGCTGTTCACAAGAAAACAACTGGGGAGAGAAGCCATCAACGTAATGAGTTTGGGAGAAACTTTGGCTTGAGGTCATTCATTGTTACACCACAGAAAGTTCCTACTGGAGAGAGACTTCTTAAATGTGATACCCTTGGAGAGAACTTGAAACAGAATTCAGAGCTAATTAAAGATCCGAGAATTTGTGCAGGGAAGAAGCCTTGGAAGTGTAACGAGTGTGGGAAAGCCTTTAGTTACTGCTCAGCCTTTATCCTCCATCAGAGAATTCATACCGGAGAAAAACCCTACGAATGTAATGAGTGTGGAAAAGGTTTCAGCCAGAGCATACACCTTACCCTTCATCAGCGAATTCATACTGGAGAGAAACCCTATGAATGCAATGAATGTGGGAAAGCCTTCAGTCACCGATCAGCCCTTATTCGACATCACATAATTCATACTGGAGAGAAACCCTATGAATGTAATGAATGTGGGAAAGCCTTTAATCAAAGTTCATACCTTACTCAACATCAGAGGATTCATACTGGAGAGAAACCCTATGAATGTAATGAGTGTGGGAAAGCCTTTAGTCAAAGCACATTTCTTACTCAACATCAGGTAATTCATACTGGAGAGAAACCCTATAAATGTAATGAATGTGGGAAAGCTTTCAGTGACCGCTCAGGGCTCATTCAACATCAGAGGACTCATACTGGGGAGAAACCCTATGAATGTACTGAATGTGGAAAAGCCTTTGGTTACTGCTCTGCTCTTACTCAGCATCAGAGGACTCATACTGGAGAAAAACCTTATAAATGTAATGACTGTGAGAAAGCTTTTAGTGACCGCTCAGCCCTTATACGACATCAGAGAACTCATACTGGAGAGAAACCCTATAAATGCAAGGAATGTGGGAAAGCCTTTAGCCAGAGTTCATCTCTTACAAAACATCAGAAAACTCATACTGGAGAGAAACCGTATAAGTGTAATGAATGTGACAAAGCCTTTAGCCAGAGCTCTTCCCTCTCTCAACATCGAAAAACTCATGTTGGCAGTAAAGCCAGCAAATATGAAAAAGTCTTCAGTGATCACTCAGTATTTACTCAACAAAAGAGAATTCATACTGGATAGAGATTCCATGAATGCAGTGAATTCAGCAAATATTTGAGGGTTTACTATGAGTCTAGCACTGTATTAAGTGCTTTGGATACTGCAAAGACTGTAAGACAGTGTTACAAAAAGACCATGCACACCAAAAAGTTGTTATGATTGATGTGCAGTCTTATGTGGGATCCAGATGGTAGGTATGTGGAATATGAATGTGGAGTCTTGCGTATTTTAAAATGTTTTAGTGGATGACACTGAAGGATTTCCTTGGCACAGTAATGATTGTCTTTGTATCAGTAATGTGATTTGAGCTATTAACTCCCTGAGAAAGGGAATGGAGTGACCTTCAAAGGAGTGAGGCTCTCTAAAGAGGGTTGATGATGCCAGGATATGGAATATTTAACTTTTAAAAAAACTGGAGGTGAAAGAATGCAAGATGTGTTGATGTAAAGTGAAAATTTGGAGAAACTGCTGTCTAGGAGATATTAAAAGCATTAAAAAGCAAAGGCATGAGAAAAGAAAGAAAAGAACAGGGGTGGATAAAACTGAGGAAGTGTTTATTGATACGGGCAGTCTCAGCTGAATATCCAAAACCAAAAGAAAGGCGTTTTCTTCTATGCAGAGATCCAGAGCCTTGGTTGTATTAGTGAGGCCTTTGCTTCTCACAATAGCAAGTTCCACTTGGAAGCCAAAGTGTGGTGGTCGAAAGGACCCTACCCTGGCAATTTAGATAAATTTAAGAATGCAGCCTAGGCCTACAGTTAAGAAGCAGGGTAGGTCAGTAAAAGAGCTATAACCCCAAGGATTGGAGACCAATAACAAGGACTTGTAGACTAGAAAGGAAGGGAGTGAAGGATAAGGACTTTTTGATCATTTAAATGCTTCCTAGATGAGTAGCTTAAGAATGTTTTTTGTGGTTTGCCTCAGCTGTACAGGGTTGTATTGCAGAATTTGCTGTAGTTTTGTTGTGTGTTTGAACTCCTTATATGCTAGGCTACAGTGGACAAGGTAGGAAAAAAGTACTCTCAAAAAAGAGAAATTAGGGAAAGATAGTTAACTATAGGGTAGAGTTTATCTTCTCCCTTTTATCTCCTTGGTGATAGAAGAAAAAAATAAGACCTTGGTGACAGGGAATTTGGCTGAGGGAGTTATCTCTTTGCATCAGGGTATCCAATTTTGTTATTCAAGTCCCTCAAAGAGTTTACATTTTGTTTGGGGGAGTAAACCTTTATCCATAACAATCCTTATTCTGCATCAGAGAATTCTTTTTGAAGAGTGTCATAGGTGTAATCATATCTTTAGGCCTTTGGCTGAGGTTGAACTCTCCAGTAGAGCAGAAGGACCACCCTGAAAGCCCAGTCCACTGGAATATTTGTTATTATAGTTATCTGTAGGTTCAGTTCAGAAATCATGACTCTCATTCACGCTATGCCAAGTAGTGTCATAATAACAAAGATCTATTTATTCTTAATATGCAAAGTAGATACCATATATACCCCCAAATCTTATGCATTGATTTGGTGTATAGATCAGAAATTTTTATTAAAGGAAATGAAAGGACATATGGAGTCCTAAGATGATAATATTAGTGCACATAAAGTTCTCTGAGGTTTAAAAAGCACTTTGTATACATTTAATCCTCATAGCAATCTTATGAGGTAGGTGCTATTATTATCCCTTTTTCTGATGAGTAGACTGAGACTCAAATGTTAAATAACTTGCCCATATAATAAGTGTCTATATTAGGATTTTAACTTGGTCTTTCTGGCTCCAAGTCTAATATTTTGTCCATTGTGCCAAACTGCTTCTAAGACATCATCCAATTATATAGTAGGAAGTTTGGAATAATATTTCGAGAGCGCGGTATGGTTAGAGAAAAGTTTGGAATGAAGTAAACATTGGTGATAATGTGACAATAGAGGGTAATTGACTCCAGTTTGGTTCAAACATAATCCTAGGAAAACAAAATAACGTTGTGGAGGAAACAGCAATATTAGTTTTTTAATCTGCTATTTAAAGCAATGTGAAAGGTTGGGTGATACTTGATTGGGTGATAGTTGGAAAGGTCTTTAAAGATCATTGAGTCCCACCTTTTTTATATTGTGAAGATAATAGTTGAAGCTTTTATAGCTGTTTATAATTCACAAAGTGCTTTACAGATTCTCTCATTGGATCTTTAAAATATTCCACAAGTAAGGAAACAGGCTTAGAGAGGGAGATTAAGCTAACCAAAGTTCAGAAGCTTTAAACTAGATTTAAATATGCCAGTAAGAAGATTAATTGGATTAAAAGCTAATGGTTTTCTAAATTCAGGGCTTAGGGAGCAAGGCCCCCAGTGTTTGTTATTGACTGATAGCATCTAGGTTGCAGAAGAGAAGAAGTGAAAAGAAAGGGGTGAGCCTTCCTTTAAAATGACTGTTCACCAAAAGAAACAATAAGGATGTGCAGTAGAATAAATGAAACTTTTCTTCTGTTTGGTGACCACTTCTTTCTGATTGGGACAGAAACATAAGTGGGAATTCAGACTCTGGACAGATGCAGTCTTCTGTCTTTATTGACTTAGGAATAGGCACATGGTTAATAAAGACCTCTAAGAAGTTTTGCATGTCCTGATGTGGCATAGAACAGCACTAACCAATGAGGACTAAGTACTAGGGACAAGCTTTGGCTTGTAGACCAGAGACAGGCTATGGAACTTGGTAGGGCTACAAGCTTGGGGAATCTATAACCTAAAAACATCAGAATTTAATTCTGAATCAGAGTAAAAAAAATATTGGGAGTACGACAAGTGATTGAGATCCCACATGCACATAGACTTGGGTTTGGGCGGTCTGTTCTTTTGTGGTTATTTTTTAAAATCCATTATAAAACGGTGATTGTAATTGCAAATCACATTATTGTATGTGCTTGGGTAACAAAGAATGTTTTTAAAAAAAACTGGCTGGATGTAGAGTGGATGTCACAATCAAAATGAACAGGTGCACCATCTAGTGGCACCCTGCCTGGAATCTGAGGGAATGTGTGCAAAAGTAGATAGAAAAATGAGAAGCAGGTGTTAGTCTGACACAGACTGGTCTGTTACCCTGTCTGAGAAAAAAGTAATCTGGCTAGATGACTGCTTCAGGGCATTTTGCGCTGTGAGATGAAAGGGACCTGAAGCCAGCCAAGAATTAGAAGCTTTCCCAAGGGGTAGGAAATATGAGTTGTTTTTTTCCCCATGGAAAATGATGAAAGATGTAAAGTACAATAAATTTGAGATCCTTTACCTGGGGAAAGGTCTTCTGTGTCTTTCTTTACCTAGTGGAGCTCATGGAAAGAATGCTGGATATAAAGTCAAAAGGCATTGTTTTAAATCCTGACTATTGTTTTATCTACCTCTAAGACCCTATGCAAATCATTCTGATAATTTAAGTGAAATAAATATTTACAAAAATATCAGTTGCATTAACAGAACTATGAGATTTATTTTTTAAAATAGAGAAGCCTCAGTGCTCTCCTTTTTTTTTATTTTTATTTTTGTTTTTTATTAATTTATTTATTTTTAGCTTTCGACATTCACTTACACAAGATTTTGAGTTATAGATTTTCTCCCTATCTTGTCCCCCCGCAAGGCGTCGAATTCTGAATACCCCTTCCCCTAATCTTCCTCCCTTCTATGTCCCCCCTCCCCCTCTTCTCTTATCCCCTTCTCCTTCTATTTTCCTGTAGGGCAGGGTAGATTTCTATACCCCATTTCCTGTATATCTTATTTCCCAGTTGCATGTGAAAACAATTTTTAACATTTGTTTTTAAAACGTTGGGTTCCACATTTTCTCCCTTTCTCTCTTCCCAGTCACTGTTATTGAGAAGGCAAACGACTCAATACAGGTTATACATGTGTGGTCATGCAAAACATTTCCATAAGAGTCATGTTGTGAAAACTAACGACATTTCCCTTCATCTTATCCCATCCCCTGTTTATGCTATTCTCTCTTTTGACCCTGTCCCTCCTCAGAAGTGTTTGCTTCTGATCACCTTCTCCCCGAATCTGCCCTCCCCTCTATCATCCCCCTGCTGTCTTATCCCCTTTCCCCGCCATTTTCCTGTAGAGTAAGATAAATTTCCATACCCAATTGAGTGTGTATGTTATTTTCTCCTTAAGCCAAATCCAATGAGAATAAGATTCACTCATTCCTTCTCACCTTCCCCTACTTCCTCTCCACTGTAAATAAGCCTTTCCTTGTCTGTTTTATGTGAGATAATTTACTCCATTCTACCTCTCCCTTTCTCCTCCCAGTATTATCCTTTTTCACCCCTTAATTTTATTCTCTAGAAATCACCCCTTCATCTTCAGCTCACCCTGTGCCCTCTATATATTTATATATACATATAATTTTTTCCCTCCAACTACCCTAATACTGACAAAGGTCATACAAGTTGCAAATATCTTTCCATGTAGGAATGTGAACAGTTCAACCTTAACAAATCCCTTATGATTTCTCTTTCCTGTTTACCTCTTCATGCTTCTCTTGAGTCTTGTATTTGAAAGTCAGATTTTCTATTCAGCTCTGGTCCTTTCATCAAGAATGCTTGAAAGTCCTCTATTTCACTGAATGTTTATTTTTCCCCCTGAAGGATTATACTCAGTTTTGCTGGGTAGGTGATTCTTGGCTGTAATCCTGTCTCCTTTGCCCTCTGGAATATTATATTCCAAGCCCTCTGGTCCCTTAATGTAGAAGCTGCTAAATCTTGTGTTATCCTGATTGTGTTTCCACAATACTTGAATTGTTTCTGTCTGGCTGCTTGCAATATTTTCTCCTTGACTTGGGAACTCTAGAATTTGTCTATAATATTCCTAGGCATTTTCCTTTGGGGATCTCTTTCAGGAGGTAATCAGTGGATTCTTTCCATTTCTGTTTTACCCTCTGGTTCTAGAATATCAGGGCAGTTTTCCTTGATAATTTCTTGAAAGATGATTTCTAGGCCCTTTTTTTGATCATAGCTTTCAGATAGTCCAGTAATTTTTAAATTCTCTGTCCTGGATCTATTTTCCAGGTCAGTTATTTTTCCAATGAGATATTTCACGTTTTCTATTTTTTTCATTCTTTTGGCTTTGTTTTACAGTGTCTTGATTTCTCATAAAGTCACTGGCTTCCATTTGCTGCATTCTAATTTTTAAGGAAGTTTTTTCTTCAGTGAGCTTTTGGACTTCCTTCTACATTTGGCTTATTCTGCTTTTTAAGGCATTCTCCTCATTGGCTTTTTGGACCTCTTTTGCCATTTGGGTTAGGCTGTTTTTTTTTTGGCTAGGCAATGGGGTTAAGTGACTTGCCCAGGGCCACACAGCTAGTAAGTGTTATGTGTCTGAGGCCGGATTTGAGCTCAGGTCCTCCTGAATCCAGGGCTGGTACTTTATTCACTGTGCCACCTAGCTGCCCCTAGGCTATTTTTTAAAGTGTTATTTTCTTCAGTATTTTTTGGGTCTCCTTTAGCAAGCTGTTGACTTGTTTTTCATGATTTTATTTCATCACTCTAATTTCTCTTCCCAGTTTTCCCTCTACTTCTCTTACTTGCTTCTCAAAATCCTTTTTGAGCTCTTCCATGGCCTGGGACTGATTCATATTTTTCTTGGAGGCTTTGCATGTAAGAGCTTTGACTTTGTTGTCTTCTTCTGGTTGTATGTTTTGATCTTCTTTGTCACTGAAGAAAGAGTCTGTAGTCTGACTTTTTTTTTTGCACAGTTTGCTCATGTTCCCAGCCAGTTATTTGAGTTTTAAACGTTGTTAAGGTAGGAGTCTGCTTCCAATGTGGAGAATGTACTGTCCCAAGCTTTGGGGGGTTTTGTGCTGCAGTTTTCAGAGATACTTCTAGGGACCTGTAAATTTTCAGTTCTTCCAAGGTGGTACGATAAGGGGTGAGGTGTTTACTCCTTTCTTGGCCTGTGCTCTGGTCTGTGAGTGACCACAAGCACTCTTTTCTGCCTTGGAACTGTGAGGAGGATTCTCTCTGTACTACCACTACAAGCTCCTCCTTGCCCTAAGATTGCCACCTGGAGCTGTGACCTAGATCCAAACACAGGTGAAGCAAGAGATTCCTGTCTCAGCACCAGCAAAGTGATCTGTGCAGTCTCCCTCTGATCAGTCACTTGATTCCTCCTCCTGGAAATATGATATTTTAAATAACTGTGTTTTAGAAAAAGAAATTGAACAAACCATTAATGGGCTACCAAAGAAAAAGTCCCCAGGACCAGATGGATTCACAAGTGAATTCTCCCAAACATTTAAAGAAAATTAATTCCAATACTGTATAAACTATTTGGAAAAATAGGCAAAGAAGGAGTCCTACCAGATTTCTTTTATGACACAAATACGGTACTGATACCTAAACCAGGAAGAGAAGGAGACAGAGAAGGAAAATCAGAAGGAAAACTAGACCAATTCCCCTAATGAATATTGTTGCAAAATTTTAAAATAAAATACTACCAAGGAGATTACAACAGTGTATCACAGATCATATACTATGACCAAGTGGGATTTATGCCAGGAATGCAAGGCTGGTTCAATATTAGGAAAATTATCAGCATAATTGACCATATCAACAACAAAATCAACAAAAATTATGATCATATCAATATATGCAGAAAAGACTTGACAAAATACAGCACGCATTCCTGGTAAAACACTAGAAAGCATGAAAATCAATCGAACCTTTCTTAAAATGATAAGTAATATCTATCTAAAATCAAGAGCAAGCGTTATCTGTAATGGGGCTAACTTAGAACCCTTCCCAATAAGATCAGGGGTGATGTCTATTATCACCACTATTATTCAACAGTATTGTAGAAGTATAGCAATGAGAGAAGGAAAAGAAGTTGAAGGTATTAGAATAGGCAACGAGGAAACAAAACTATCTCTCTTTGCAGGTGATATGATGGTACACTTAGAGAACCCCTAGATTGAACTGAAAAACAAGTGGGAACAATGAACAACTTTACAAGGTATAAAATAAATGCGCATAAATCACCAGTATTTCTATATGCTACCAACAAAACTCAGCAGAAAGAGAGAGTTTCTATTTAAAACAACTTGCAGACAATATAAAATACTTGATAGTGTACCTGCCAAGACAAACCCTAGAACGTATATGAACACAAGTACAAAACACTTTTGACACTACAGAAAGAGATATAAATTAGAGAAATATCAGTTGCTTATGGGTAGGCCAAAATGGATATATGACTTAGTCACAAAGTGTGATATTATAAGCAAATTAATGGAGCATGGAAAATTTTACCTGTTAGATCTATGGATAAGGGAAGAATTTTGATTACATGAAATTTAAAAAGCTTTGCACAGACAAAACCAATGCGGCCAAGATTGGAAAGCAGGAAACTGGGAAAAGATTTTACATCAAGTTTCTCTGATAAAGGCCTTATTTCTCAAATATATAGGGAACTGAGCTAAATTTACAAAAATATGAGTCATTTCCCATCTGATAAATGGTCAAAGGATATGAACACACATTTTTCAGAAGAGGAAATCAAAGCTGTCTATAATTATGTGAGAAATTGCACTAAACCACTAATATTTAGAGAAATGCAAATTAAAACAACTCTGCGGTACCACTTCACATCCGATTGGTTAGTATGACAGAAAAAGAAAATGATAAATGTTGGAGGGGATATGGGAAAATTGGAACACTAATATATTGTTGGTGGAGTTATGAACTGATTCAGCCATTCTGGAGAGCAATTTGGAACTCTGCTCAAAGGGCTGTAAAACTGCATACCTTTTGACTCAGCAACACCACTGTATACCAGAGAGACCAAAGAAAGAGGAAAAGGAGCTATATGTACAAAAATATTTATAGCAGCTCTTTGTGGTGGCAAAGAATTGGAAATTGGGGGAATGCCTATCTATTAGGGAATGGCTGAACGAGTTGTGGTATGTGATTGGAATACTATTGTGCTATAAGAAATGACAAGCAGGATGGTTTCAGAAAAACCTGGGAAAACTTATATTGAACAAAGTGAAGTGAGCAGAACCAAGAGCCATTCTACACAGTAACAGTGCTATTGTTCAATGTTCAACTGTGAATGACTTAGCTTGATCAATACAGTGATCCAAGGCAAGGACTTAAGAAAAATATTATCTACCTCCAGAGAAAGAACTGATGGAGTCTGAGGGCAGATTGAAGCATATTTTTTTTTCACTTTATTTTTCTTGCTTTTTTTTTTTGTAACATGGCTAATATGGAAATATAATTGATATCATTGCTTGCCTTGGTGAGGGAAGGGTAGATGGGAGGGAGATTTCAGAAATCAATTTTTTTTCAATGAATGTTAATAAATGAAAAAGTATGGTTCCAGGGACCATTAAAAAAAACCACAACAACAGACCTTATGCAAATCACATCTCTGGGCTGTTTCTT